CAAAAAAAACAGAAAGTTAACTCATGCTTCCTACGGCCTGGCAGTTCTACAATTGGCATAAATGGGAGTTACCTGTACCGCTACAGCGTCCTTTCCCAAGGGCGTGGGCGGGGCGCGGGAGAAGGTACCGGTACGGACCTTCCTTCTTTTTTTTTGGGAGGTAAGTTCAGGTAACTGTACCGCTACAGGTTGTTTTCCCGAGGGCAGGGGCAGGGGCGGGGGCGGGGGCGGGGGCGGGAGAAGGTACCCGTACCGTCCTTTTTTTTTTCTTTCCTTTTAGGATCACCGAGGCGAGTTGGAAAACCACTTGATGTAGCTCAGTGGTTAGAGCACCGGTTGAAAATGCGCATTGTGGTATGAGGTTGCGGGTTCAAATCCGCAGCCTTGCGCATGGACACTGGCAGGGCGTTAGATTGACGCACGGCTGGACACACACTCCCTTGGGATGACGCAAGCTAGCTATTACAGACACTGCTTGCGCACCACCGAAGGGGTAGCTCACGGTTGTTGTACGTTGGGACTGGGCGATGGTAGGGTATCCTGATGTTCTTGGTCTATGGGTGGTCACGCGACTGTTGGGTGGTTCGCACAGTCTGGTTTACTCGAGCCCAGCAGAGCACAGCTTCAGACTACTTCACGGTATATGTCAACAGGTTAGGTCATTTGCACAATTCAGATGAGGTCCTGTGTTCGATACCAGATTATGACTTAGGGCTGGTGATCCTCCTAGTTCGCAGCCCGTCAGGGGTGCGTTTTCCCCCCCTGAGAACATTTTCCGTCGTCGTTCATTATAAGGTCGTTGGAAGGCTGGAAAAACAAGGCATGGCAGTTTTGGGGGCGGTGGCATCTTATTTGAAACTGCAGGACCGGTAGCTGCCCGTGGGATTGCACGGGTTTTGGTACAGGACCGCGTAGGACCGGTAGCTGCGAGTAGGAGGCCAAGGAGGCCGCAGTCCTTTTTCGAAATTGAAACGGTGCGGGTAGTCCTTTTTCGAAATTGAAACGGTGGGGGTCCTACACGTTGTCTTCGAATACAACCTGTACCTTTTCTATTCGGATTTCGGAAAAAAAAAACTCTTGTATTCCGATAATAAAATTACTTCTTCTTTTTGTTGGAGGTCAGTGCCTGCCCTTGT